CAATCAATCAATCAATCAATCAATCAATCAATCAATCAATCAATCAATCAATCAATCAATCAATCAATCAATCAATCAATCAATCAATCAATCAAGCAAGCAAGCAAGCAAGCAAGCAAGCAAGCAAGCAACCAACCAACCAACCAACCAACCAACCAAGCAACCAACCAACCAACTATTCATTCATTCAAGATCCATCGATTTCGACGAAAAGATCCGTCGAAATCGACTGATCTTGATTGATTGATTGAAAAAAAAAAAAAAAAACAACAACAACAACAACAACGAAGGCGGGGGAGGGGAGCCACCCGCCACCTCCCTTACCTCCTCCTCCTCCTCGCACATGAATAACTTACGACATCTGTGGATTTCGTAGACGAGGAGGAGGAGGAGGAGGAGGACAAGGAGGACGAGGGGGAAGATGAGGAAGATGAGGAAGATGAGGAAGATGAGGAAGATGAGGAGGAAGAGGAGGACGAAGCCGAGGAGGAGGAGGAGGAGGAGGAGGAGGAGGAGAAAGGGGAAGTCGAGGAAGAGGAGGAAGACGAGGAGGAAGGGGAGGAGGAGGAGAAAGACAAGGAGGAAGAGGAGGAAGAAGAGGAGGACGAGGAGGAGGACGAGGAGGAAGAGGAGGAGGAGGCGAAAGACGAGGATGAGGAGGAGGAGGAGGAGGTGGAAGACGAGGAGGAGGAGGAGGTGAAAGATGACGAGGAGGAGGAGGAGGAGGGAAGGAGGAGGAGGAAGAGTAGGAAGAGGAGACTCACCTTAGTGACGGGTAGAGGAGCAGCTCCCGGTGATGGCTCGAGCGGCGGTGGCTATGGAACAATGCGGCGGGGCAGCAGGGCAGCGAGTGGCGGGGCAGCGGGCCAATGAGTAGTGGGGTGGCGGGGCAACGGTGCTGTGCGACTTCGTATTCAAAATTGGCCCGATCTGGGCCATCGATCTTGGTGGACCGACGACCCAGATCGTTTTTTTTTCTTCTTCGAAATTTGTGGGTCTCACCAAGGATCCGCCACCGTGAGGTCCTGCCAAAGGTTGATCAAAACCCCTTGGCGCCCCTAGACCCCAAGAAGAAGCTCTGCGCCTATTTTGCGCAAGCCCCGAAATGTTTATTTCCGGGTTCTTCCGGGGTGCTTCTTCCGGCCGGATATTGCGAATGGTCCTAGGCCATCCGGATATCCAGAAAAAAAAAACTTAGGACATTATTTTGTAATACTTCTGTTTGGAGCACAAATAGAAGTGGGGCAAAGAGGCAACCTTGTCTGAGGGAGTGGGTTAATTTAAAGGTAGATGAGATTTTCCCATTGACCATTACTGCCACAGTTGCTTGGGTATAGAGTGCAAAGACCCACATGAGAAATTGTGGCCCAAAATTCATGTGTTTGAGCGTAACTTCAACAAATGACCATCCTACTTTGTCATAGGCTTTCTGGAGGTCTAGGGCTAATATAACAATTTTCATATTGGTTTTATTAATTATTTCTAAGGCTTCAACGGTTGTAATAATATTATAAAAAATGGAGTGACCCTTGACGAAGGCCCCTTGCTCTGGGCCCACCAACTTAGGTAAGAACAGGCCTAGCCTGATTGCCAGGGTTTTTGCTAATAGTTTATATGACACATTTAACAAAGTAATTGGTCTCCAATTCCGTATACCTGATTTTTAACTTTTTTTGTACATTAGTGAAATGATACCTTTGGTCATACCCGCGGGCAGCGTTTTGCCTTCCAAGACCTCATTAAAAATCTTGAGTAGACCTGGGGCCAATTTTGTCCAAAATGTCGAGTAGAATTCCACAGGTAGCCCATCTTCTCCACGAGATTTGCCAAGTGTCATTTGGTCCTTAGCGCGTGTGAGTTCTTTAAGGCTAATGGGTTTATCTAACTCTTCTTTCTCATTGTGATTTAGGGTCACCTGAGGGGTCTCCCAGAAGGGTGCAAATGCCGCAAAGGTTGGATCTGATTCTAAGGGTGGCCTGCATAATGTGAGAATATCTTGAAAATATATTTGTGCATGTTCACACATCCCATCTAGGGTAATGACCGGGGGAACTGCCCTTGAGAAGGGATGGGCTAGTTCCTTCATTGGAATGTGTTTCCTTTGTGGCAGAATTCTTTGAAACTGTTCTTTGGTCACTCTGTCTGATGTAATCAATTTCTTAATTTTTACCCTTTCAGTCCACTCTTCCACCTTTTTGACTTGGATTTCTTTCCATCGGAGCTGAGATACATTTATGGAAAGTAAAAGCATGAGATTAGGAGGCACGTCGCTTGGCTGGTCTCGAGCGCTGCGCTGCCGGTAACGCCCGTTGTTCACGTTACCAGCATTACCCAACTGCACGCCCAAGAGCGGGTAGAGAGGTACCACCATAGCCGCCCTCACATTAGGTGAGGAAAGTTTACCTTTCCAAGGTGTAGCGAGTGAGGCGGGCGGGTAACTCTGTGGGAAATTGTCGACTCAATGTGTACGAATGTCTACCGCGGATGCGCCTGAGGCGTCCACCTCGCTATGGGTCTGAATATGCTCTGGCTGGAGCCTAGAGGGACATATGTAGAACCTCCGCAAATACCGGAAGTCCTCTACAGGTATGTTTTCAAGAATCTTCGTTCACAACTCAGATGCGTCTTAACAACCTTATTGCCTTCAGACTTACATAAACCTATAGCTAACCCCTCTACGTCCTTCTAGAATAAGGAAGATAGCAGATCGTCGGAGCGGGCCGTAACTAACAGAACATAAAACTTCACCCTATGTGGCCCATCCATCCCTGCCCTGACACTAATTTGGACTAACCCGATGGAAAATAGGTTGCAACAACCCACCCACACTCTCCCCGTCATCTAGATCCGACGCATACTAAGAATCCTCCACATACTCACATATCTTCATGCTTCGCTTACTAACCCTAAAATACTGCCAACTTTTCCTTCTAGCCTAAGTACCTAGTACTGGTTGATGTTTGAGCCGCACTCCTCCCTCAGTGTTGTGACTACATCCCCACCTCTGAATCCCAGTCTACCGCTAACTTCCCCCCTTCTTCCTCCCCTGCCCTAATCCAGGTACTCTGTACTTGTAGACTCACATTTAGCGCCGTGACGACATAGACGTTGCTACTAAGCATTTCCCTACCTACAAATATCAGCCTGCCTACCACTAACCTCCCCTTCTCCCCTCTGTCCTAAGACTCCTAACCAAGCACCCGACACTCATCGAGTGACAAGTTGCACGATTGACTTCTAGCGTCGTGACAACACCCATGCTTTAACTAAGTTTCTTCCCGTTAACAACATATCAAATTGGCTGATAGGGAATCGGTGATGTATGGATACCAGACCTAGTAGGATCGCTTGCAGTGCCTTGCACCACCAAACCTAGAACAACCATCCCTTATCATGAAAGAAATACATATGGAACCCTAGCACCATCCGTAGTGTATCCTAGAGCTTCTCAATTCATCTCCTTATATCTGGAGTAGTGCCTGTTGGTAGCTACACCACCCCTATCCACCAAGATTTTGAATGCACTAGGGTCAAATCGTGTATAGGTGCATTCAAAACGTGGCAGGCGAGGAGTGCAACTAGACCATATCAAAACTTAAATTCGTATGATTCCAGTCAGGCTGTCTACATAGACCCAGAACACTCTTCCCAACCAGAACACGCGCACGCTGTCAAATCCGGATCCTCTCACATGATTGCATCCATCCTATGATCGAATGGGTGTGGAACTCATGACCTATTCATCAACAATTACACATCGTATCATTCAGCTACCACACGTGTTAGGGGCAGTGCGTTCAATGCACCCCACGCTCTGTTATGGTGATTATCTAATTAACTACCTCTACTAACCTGGTCATCGTAACCAGAAACTGCTGCAACTTGATACATGTCATGGATCAACAAAGAGGAATGGACTCGGAAGATCCAAACGGGCCCCTTGGACAGGATGGCATGTTCGATTTGCGACTGGCTCTAGACCAACGTTTTAAAATTGGTATTCTACCTCGCAATTTGAACATGGGCAATGTATCTGAAGAAGATGAGGATGAGGACACACTGGTAATGGACGCGGATGAGGAAGTAGACCAGCACACAGTACAGTGGCTGAAAGAACATGACGTGGTCATCTCCTTCGTCCCTCAGAATGCAAATCCAATCCCACTCAACCTCGAGAGGCAACTGATCAGATTGTATGAGGCTGCGTGGGTAAAGGACAATAACGGAGCTGCTGTCATGCAAAGAGGTACTCTGCGAAATGAAGGGGCAAACATAATCTCATATGTTCCACCAAAAAAGGAATTTGCTGAATTTTTTATCAAAAAAGGATCAACAAAGATCCCATTGGTGGACGAAGGAACAGAGTACCTAGCCTTCTTCTCTCGATAGGAAAAAAAGAAATAATTAGCAAAGAGAAGGAAGCGCGAAAAAGACAGCAAATTTTGGTTGATGGGACTTCGTGTCCTGTGGAGAATGGTCCCCCAAATGCATACCTTTGTAGAAACCAAAACCGGACCGATCATCAAAAAATACCCCATCCTGAGAAACTCAGAGGAACCAGAGCTGTCACACGTCAAATTCAAAGTCCCCAACTCTGTCAAACACAAAGTGAAGAAAAAGTTCCGACTCAGATATGCAGACAAAGATGCTCATGTTATAGATATCGTTACACAGGATACTCCACTGGCATGGTGTGAATCATGCCGCTGGTTTTACCACAGGACTGCAGACTGCCCATCGGGAGATCCGGAGCAACGAAAAATGGAACAAGTGGATCCGTCAAAATCTCGGACTGGGACAACTGAGGTGAACAGGACGAACACATCTCAAGAAAAGGGAGGGAGGGGAAGAGGAAGGGGACGGAGAGGGAACAAAAGTGACAGGGGGGGAAGGGGGGGGAGGGGAGGAAGGGCCGCTATCCCTCACCCCCCTCCCCCTCCCCCACCCCCCGTAGTTGAGCCCCCCTCATCCTCCCCTACCCCTTGCCCCCACCCCCTCTCGGTCGCCATCCCCCTCGCCCGTCCGGTCTCCGTCTGAGCACGGCTCGCCAAGAAAGGTGGAGAGGAACATGGAGTATTCTGCTACCAGTGCAGGTGACCTATCCCCCAGTGCATCGAAGATCTTCACCAAGATGTTCGACAACATAGTCTTTTCCCCTGAGCAGGGAAAAACAACGACTCAAAGCCCAGTTCTGAAAGTGCTCGAAACCCTACGGAAACAGGGCTCAGCGAAGGTATTGAATGTGAAAGTTCTAAATGGCTCAGAACTGCAACCTTCTGTTCCCAGTGGGGGAAGCACATCTACCAGCATGATTGCCACTGTCATGGATAATCTGGTAGCAAAGGGAACTAAGGAAAATGTAATAACAGACGATACCAGAGCCAATCCCAATACGCCCACAGCTACACCAACCTCGAACAAACGGATGAAGTCACCTTATAAGCAACGGGAGATGGGGCACGGTCTGGACGAAAGGGATTGTCCCGAACATTCTGACTTTTCACCGAACTTGTAAGAAAACTCCCAAATCAGAAACAGAAACAGGGGCAATCCCCGCTCGTGGAAACTGGTCGTCCCAGGCCGAGTAGGACTCAGGAATGGCAGATTCTCAAGCCTGCTACCATACCGGAAAGAGTGGAAACAGGCAACGGAACACGCGCCGCGAACATGGGTCAAGACTCCGACAACAACAATGTTAAGACTCTGCAATCTGAAAACAAAAACAAAGTAATAAGGAGGATTGTTCCTCTTATTTGTGTGTCCACTCTTGCACATGTCCTCTGCCTTACTGTCGATGCTGGCCAGGGAAAGAAAGTGCTACCAATCCTCCCATCAGAAGAGGTTGGTACCCCCTCAGATCTGGTCATGCTGGACAAGGCAAGAAAACTATTATTGGACAA